ATTGTAGTGTTCTTGAGGAATTGTTCAAGTTCTTTGTAGATTAGATGCAATAATCTATAAGAATCACATCACGTTTTTAGTAGTGTTTTTTTTTTGTTTTTTTTTTTTTGCATTTATACAATTGTTCGACTTGTATATTGCATTATTCTTTTAGTATTTTAACTAACTTGATCTACATTACTTGTCGATTTCTAGAGTGTTTTTAGGGATCAATTTTTTTCAATTTTTGTTTTTGGGATTTGGATTGTTGTTTAGGGTTGATGAGATTGAAAATTCAGGGTTTTTAGATATATAATGTGTTTTATGAATTGCTTTTCTTGGGATTATAATGATTTTAGTCAAATCATGAAGCATATAGAGAGTTTTGAGAATTTAGTCCACTATTTGATTGTGAATACAAAGTGTTACTCTAGCTCAAGAAAGTGCTCTCGTCTCTTTTAAAAGTTGAATTCGTGTTTGTGGTATGTCATTAATTAAAAAACACTTCCTATGATCATTATTGGATTGAATTTCTCTTTTGGAAATCTTGTGTGATGCTAATGTAAAAATGTTTGTACTAGCTTGTTATAGTCAGGAGGAAGGAAACATTGTCTAAATCCAATTATGAGGAGGGCATAGCCAAGTTCATAACACCCAAACTGAAAGGAGAAATGTATTTTTTTTTGTAAATGATATGTTTATTCAGGAAACATTAGGGTATGCTTGATTTTTTTAAATATGATTGAATATGATTTCTATACTTGAACCTTTCTTTTTTGCTGATTGAATCTCGTTTCTATGTTATAAAATGTTTAAATCTTATGTTTGGCTGCTTTAATATTACTCCTACTTTAAAGAATGTTCATTTGATTTGTTAATTTTTGAAAATTGTTCATTTGATATGTACTTAATTTGAGGTTTTATGAACATTTTTATACCGTGAGTTTCCATGGATTTACAACTGGCATGTTTATTTTATTGTATAAAGTATGAAACATTTTATATTTTTAGAGAAGTTGGGATTTTCTTATTTTAACTGTGATAGTTTGTGATTTATGGTTAAGAATCTTATGAATTCATAAAAGATGTGATGTTATGTTCGTACATCATTAACATGATAGAATTATGCAAATAACACATGTTGATAAAAAATAATTGAGAAAAAAACTCTTTTAAGTTAAAAAAAAATAGTTTATTTTAGCAATATGCGGATTTAAAAACAATAATCTTATTCTTATCGACCACATACGTTTGGTCAACCTCTTCTTCTGCAGATGTCTGCATATATGGTTCACAGACTGCAAATCTTTTACCTCTTAAAAAACAAAACAACAACTAAGAATCAAGTGATTTTGTTGATGATTTGAAGCCTTATATGAATATGCTTTAAATTCTTGAAACGTTTCCATCACAAATGTTAGCCGAAAACTCAAAAATGATGGTGTGTCTTATGAAAAGTGTCATCATACACATAGTGTTGGTCGGAAACTCAAAAATGATGTTGGCCGGAAACTAAATAATATATCTCCGTGTCATGCACCGAGTAACTCCACCACACAAGCCTCACAAATGAAAATTTTCACTTCAGTTGCTCAACAATTCACTCAACATATGCAATAGGATTATGATAAAACAATGTTGTCTTGTGGTCCCACTTACTAACCCGCACCACCCGCCAATTCAGTTTCGATCCCTCATGAGTTCCAAACAATCCAATTAATGAAGCACATGACGAAAGTGATGACCAACAAGGTTCCAACGAAATTGTTATTTGGTAGTTTGGTTTGTGTAAAACATTGAACAATTTTCTATGACACATTTGATGGTTTGATATTGTAACATAGTTGTAACACCCAGTTTCCATAACATATCCATTTAGGGTTTCAAGGGGTCAAAGGCATGGTTTTTAGGTAAAGTCGGGTGTCACGATGTAACCATAGGGAGGTCACGACATGACATGTGGAAAATGAAATGCATCTTCGGGATGGCTTGTCATGACGTGACAAGAGAGTGGTCACATCATGAGTATGGTTGCAGCCCAAGCCCACAAATTTTAGGGTTTTCTCCATATTTAAGGACCTTATTTCATGACCTAGGGTATTTTCTTCAGCCTCCACTCAATTCAAACGAAACCCTAGCCCCATTTATGAGTTCTTGAATCTTTGGTGGTGTTTTGGTGACTTGAAGAAGAAGGGATCATCTTTGGTGCATTGGTCCATCTTGCAAGCCTCAATACCATCTTCTAGCAACTCTTCTGGACCTTTGTGTGTATTCAAGCTTCATGCTTTTTGGATTCTTGTTGCTAGATCTAGAGTTTTATGCATTATTATCCATGGTTAGATGAGTTAGAGTGTTGGGATTCCATAAAGTTAGCAACTTTATTGGTCCTTAGAGTCCCTTGGTGACTATATGTGGTAGATCTGGAGTTTGAGTGATGTTCGAGCTCATGCTTGAGGTTTTTACCTCCTTTTCTTCATAAGTGACCAAATTTGAGCTCAATTCTTGCATAGGACATGTAAGACCTTAAAGAATCAATTTTTATGGCTGTTGGGGTGATAGGAAACCTTTTGGGGGAAATGTTTAATGGCTTAATGGATTTAGGGTTTAATTTATCAAGATGTCATTTAGCCAATTCCCATGACGTGACATGATTCCTGTCACGTCGTGAAGATTAAAGAGTCTTGATTATTTTGTATTTTAGATGGTCACGACGTGACCAAGAAATTGTCATGTTGTGAGGAGCAATTGACATGTTAACCGTCGACTTTTGTTGACCTTTGACCGTTAATTTTTTTGACCAGTTTGACTTTGAGTCAAACTTGAAGGATTTGGGTTGTTGATTAGGATTTTACCATGTATTGGTGCTAATAGGTTTATGGGAGAAACCAGTGCAAAAAAGGGAGCATGTCGTAGTGTTTCTGAGTTCTTCGATTCATGTGAGTTTTCCTCACTGTTCCCATGGGTCGAAGGCACCAATGCCGACCCACTAGATTTGGTTTTGTATCATTGTGTATAGGATGTTGCTATGTAGTAGGGATCTGCTATATATATATATATAGATATATATATATATATATATATATATATATATATATATATATATATATATATATATATATATATTCTTGTGTGCTAAGATGTAGGAGTAGTATTATGCTGGTTAGACTACCGGTAGACTGTTTATCGTCTAGTGGGAAGCCCTAGGGGCTGTATGTGAGCATGTAGGATGGACTGAGAGCTCTTGATCTAGACTTTCTTACCTGTCCCTTGTTTGTTTGTGGCTCTATAGTAGGACCATTTGTTCGGGTGTCTATCTCACATCTGGTTACGTGTGGTTATGCATTCCTTGGAGATTTGTTTGTAGTGGAGCAGTGTGCTGTGAGGGGCTTAGTAGGCATTAGTGAACTATTCGATAGGTAGATCGATAGTTGCCTGTACTTATATGCCTACTTGATTTCTTGTTTGTTTATATGTCGACATATTGTGGCGGATGAGGTTGAGGCGGTCCTGCTGTGTGTTGTAGGCCAAGATACCAGGTGCGGGCCGACTGTAAGCCGTAGACACGAAGGCTCGGGTGGAGCGGTTAGGTTGAGGTAGCTGGCCAACATACCCATAGAAATCCAGTTCGATAACTATGGGCCTAGTATGCATACTTGGATATGTTTTTGTGGTGTGTGATATTTTTGGGAAAACTCACTAAACTTTGTGCTTACCCAACTGTTTATGTTTTTTAGGTTCCATCGGTGATTGTAAAGGCGAAGTCGTGACTGTACATATTCATCAGCAACATTGAGGATTCCACGTGTATTATATTACTTTGATTTTTAATAAATGTAATTTGGAACAAATGATTTTCTTAACATGAATTTTATAAATGTGGGATTTTACCTTAATAAAAATGAAAATTTTATGTTCTGAAAATGAGACGTTACAAAAGTATGGTTATTTGTATTAGAATTGAACTAAGTTTGTATGAACTTTCAATATTTTGTTATAAGATATGGTGTTTTACAATGTCCGCGTTTGAAAATAACAACAAAACAAATAAAAACAGAGGGAAAAGTAATATGTACAATGGTAAAAGCGTGACCATGTTGTCGCTAAACTTTATCATTATAAAAAACAAACAAATAACAAAGGCATGTCGTCGATATATATTATTATTATTTTTTTATTAAATCATATATAGATAAACAAACACACATATAACGAGCAGGTTGTAGCGACGATAGTTGTGTGGACAACCATATTTTTTGTAGTGATTTTAAACAAACAAGCCCAAAAACTCCCTAAAATTAATAGTTATGACATATCGAACCGAGACATATTTTTACACTTATATCATATCATAATGTTGATGAAAGTGGCAATATTGTATAATGTTTGGTTCTCGAAACTGTAACTTTGAGCAACAACATATACAATTGAAATTTTATACACTTACATAAACACGATTAAGATGATAACCTATTTATCAAATGTTTATAAAATAAGATAATATCAATGGGGTACATGCTTCTATATTTTCCTTTAAGTAATTTAAATAATGACAATTAAATCTTACAACAATGAACCGGGACACGTATTAACTAGAAATCAACAAGATTTATGACTTTAAATCACTCTTTTATAACTACACTTTGACTTTCATTAAGCAAAATCAAACATGTAGGATGGCGTCGAAGCATAATTAGTAATTAGTAATTATGTATTGGTCTCCTATCGAAGTGTGATGATGTATTGTAACGTAATATAACTTTAAACTCATTCTCATATTATTAATATTAATTATTGTTATAGTTTTGTTTGTCATTAACTTATGGTCCTGAATAATTAATTCATAATTAATTATGATTTTCTTGGTATTGGTCTATAAACCCCATCTGCATCTTCATTTCTCATCCCACCAAGAAGTTCCCATCTTTCCCGATTATATCAAAAGCAATTAAATTTCGTATATCTCCCTCTTGCTGATTAAAAGATTTTATTTGTTCTTTATTTTTATATTTTTTTTGAAGATTATGAATGAAAGAGAGAGATGCGATACAACATTAGGTCTTGGGATTGGAGTGGGGATCAAACGGGAGAGGCAATCAAAGCAAAACCAGAGGAGTTTTTGGTTGGATCTTTCATTACCACTTCATCCAAAGATTGAAGCTAGTGAGCATGTCCATAGTTACGATAATGAAAAAGATGATCAAGATTCTTTTAGTTCTAAAACCATCGATGATCAAAAAGAAGAAGAGAGAGGAATAAAACGAAGCGCTAGCAACACTAATGTCTATAATAACAACAGTGATGGATCAAGAAAGAAGTTAAAACTCACAGCGGAACAAACTACGTTGCTAGAAGATAGTTTCAAAATCCATTGCACCCTTAATACGGTAAGTCCTCTTTTTTCAACCATCAAGATTTTGAAAGTTCTATATATATACAAGGTATTATATATACACAATATATTGTTGGGAAGCTGTCAATATGCATATCATCGTGCAAACACAAGTACTTATGAATTTGGTAATGAAAATGTAAAGTTAAATGACAATATAATTTATGATCCTTGTAGTTTTAATTTATTTTGATTTCATTAATCTGTAACTGATTTTTCTTGCTTTTTGTTAATAAAATTCCAAAATGTATATATGACGAATTTTACTCACGTAATTGCAGGGCCAGAAACAAGAACTTGCAAAGAAATTGAATCTTCTTCCACGACAAATCGAAGTTTGGTTTCAGAATAGAAGAGCAAGGTATTCTCTCTCTCTCTCTCTCTCTCTCTCTCTCTCTCTCTCATACAAAAAAAAAAAAAAATAGAAAGGCTTATCGAAAGGAAACACTATGTTATAATGGTAACATCCGGACGAAACATGTTTCATTGACCTATCTGTTTATCAGTTTTGTGAGATTTGGTTCAATAACGTGCAGTAAAGAAAACAAAACAAAACCGAAAGAACAAAGCGATGAAGTGAACAGATGATAAAACCCTAATATTGATCTGCGAGATTCATGTGTTTTCTTGTCATTAGAGAACATGCAATGCCATATATATAATTAGTCCGTTCTTGTAATCATGTTTAGATGCTTTTGATGGTATATAATTAGAAAGTTACTAGTATAATATTAATGATTATTATCATGCTTTCATGCTACTGCGAATTAGTTGCAAGCGTTTAGTAATTCTTGAAGAAAATTAGGTTAATAGTTGTCTCCGTTGGATTTCAAACATCTTTCTTTTACGATTCTTACCTTTAAAACACATGCTTCTGAATGTAATTACATTTTTATATATAACAAACTCTAAACGTTACAAAAGTTATTAGTGATTGTTTCAAATATCATTGCGTAATACAGGACAAAGTTGAAGCATATCGAACAAGAATGTGCGTTGTTAAAGAAATGTTGTGAGACCCTAAATGACGAGAACCGTAGATTGAAGAAAGAGCTGCAGGAGTTGCGGTGTTATTCATTAAAGTTTGATCATCATCAGCCACCACACTCGCAGCTACCTCTCTACGTCCGATATCCGACCACATCAGAGATGCATCATCCATGCGACAAACTTGGAAAATCCGGCCAAGATACGAAAACGGTAGTACTCGAGAATGGCGGCAGCATAACTCAGATGCATGGTAATTATAAAAAGAATGCTGCGGATAAATTGTCATAGGGTGAAAACACAACTGCTTTGATTATTTTTCAATAAATAATTTGAACTAGGACTGCTGAGTATAGGGTGTTTGGCAAGCCTTTAATAAACCCATGATTATGTCCGCAGCCGGTTTCTATTAAACCCTACAAAATTAGGGCTTGTCACAGTGAGTATTCATACATAATGATGAAGAAATCATGAGGTTTGCTTGAGTTAAATAATATTCTTTTATATGGAAAGTAATTTGTACAACGATTTTAATATTTACATAATAATTTATTATGTTTTACTAGGTTACAACCCGTGTTTACCCACGGGTTAAAAAGAAAAATAATATTGATAATTAAAAATACGATGGAATATCAAAGATTTATATATTTTTAATAAAGTAATAAGATATAAGGCTTCTCTTTTTCATTGCAGCTCTAGTTCACTGAATCTTCTTTATGTTCTCTTGGTTAAATAAAGTTGAACCCAAAATCACAAAGTGTTAACCAAGTTACACCTGATCTTTGTATGTGTAGTGGACTTTCCGGTTAAAACCTTCAGGACTCGAAGAAGCATGAATACTCATTGCAAATGGAGTTAATTATGCATTTAAAGCCTAACAGAAAGTAACCAAATTGACAAAATGAAAAGTCGTTTCTTTTATCAAATTTTGCAATAAGTTATAGCTTTGAGTCAATACCACAGGTCTGCACTACAATATATTATATCGGTTTAAAGCAAGAAAATTCAAAACCAATTCAAAAGCATAAAATATACTCCCACCAAATTTATTTAAATATGCATTTCAAGCAATGGAAACTCAATTAGCAAATTTATTTAAAAAATATACACTGCAACCTTTTTTCTACCCTAGTGGATGTTAAATGTTTTGAGATATCAAGTGCAACAATGAACTTAGAAAATACCTATTTTACAGCCCTAGCTTCCGATAACCAAAAAAAAAGGACAAATATACCCTTCTCATCTTATGTGTTTCTCCCTGTTTAGCATCAACGCAAGAAGAAAATCGAAACCTTGAAATTCAAATCGCAGATCTGATTGACACCGAAAGTTCTAAAAAACAGGGGCGACTCTTTCTATGTATATGTATCTTCTCTCACATCTCAATCTGATCCTCAGTTTTAAGTCGAAAAACTGATGATGAGCAGCGACTTTAGATGGGGATGATAGAGGTAGAGAAATCCAAGTAACTCTAAATCTGCATGATGGGATATGAATTTTTAGAAAATCGTGAAAACCAAACATCAGTTATGAGATTAAAATTTTCAAGACTCAAATCTAAGAACAAATTTATGAATCTAATATCAATTGTGAAGAAATCCAACAAAATAAACAACCACTTATCAGATTAAGAGAAACCTGTCGATTTCATAATGTCAGGCCGTTTGAAACTAAACATAACCAGAGGAAGAAGCAGCAGGGAGGCGGTGGACGTAGAATCAAGCACCACATACTATTAATTAACCGTAATCATATTTGAAAAATATGTGTTCATTAAAAGAGGGTTTGTTTTTAGGGAGAGAATGATCAAATTTGAAATAAACATCAATCTCGATTCACAAGATCATTAGTTTCATGGAATTATTAGAGCCGTGAATTTTGAAAGGAGTTAGACGTCATGATAGGGTTTAAGGTGCTAGAGAACACAAATATGAATTAATTGGTAAATCCGAATGTAATTAATGGATCAGAAAGACATATTCGGTATTTCACATTCTCTTTTTAAGGGGTTAATGAGATGCCACATGGCAATAATGAGATTCTTTTATTATAACAGGATGTTTTATAAGGGTTATATGCATTAATTAATACATTGAAATATATATAATTATTGTCGTTGGATAAAAAAAAGATTGTATGTTGTCCTTTGAAGTAAAAAAATATTATGTGCATAAATTCAAATAATTTAAACTATATCAACTATTAAATTAATATCGTACTTGATAAATAAAATTATATTTTATATAGAAAAAAACACTAACACATAAAACTTGGAACTTTTTGGGTTTTAGCACTAACTATTATCTTTTACCTTTTTTTTATACTTTGATTATGCTATATAGTAGTAATATTTAACATATCAGATAAAAAAAATATATTTAGATAAAGTATATAGCTATAAAAGTTTTATTAAGGCTTATAAAAAGATCAATTGTAAAAATAATATTAGATTTATTTTTAAATTCAAAATTTTTTAATTAAAATTTAATTATTTCCAATGCTTACACTATGTTACAACTCAAAGTAGTAAGTGTCACATCATTATTACATTTATCTTAACATCTAAATAAGAGACCATTCCAATGGTTATAAATTGAGCTAGATTATCCTTATCTATCTAAAATAATTTATAAAACATCATCGTTTAATTAGTCTATTTTTAAACACAAATTATATTTTAATACAAATGTATAGATACAATTATATTGGTTCTTTATTTATATATGATATATACAAAAATAATTTTATGTTATAGTTACAAAAATATATTCAAAACATTGAAAATATTATATTTCTATTATAAAATTTATATTTTACAAATAAAATGTCACTAAATATTTAACAGGAATAACTAATTAGTATAAAAAAATATTAAAGCTACATTATAATTAAATGGGTAAATTGAAATATGATTAAATAATATGTGGATAGATATATAAGTTATATAAGTATACTGACAATTCAATATATATTGAATGATAAAAATAAATAAATGAAAAAAAAAGTTATGTAGTACTATAATATTAAGTGGTAAAAAGAGTCTATAATAATAAGCTATAAAAAAGCTCCCACTGAAGATGTTCTCAAGAAGCTTTATAATACATAACTAAAATAAGATTGTAAAGTAAGAACTTATGATAAATCACCAACATATGATAGGCCATAGTTGGTTGTCTAGTGCTTGGAAAGGATGTACAAGGTGTTGGGTTATGATGATGACTAGAGCACATAAAGCAACGAAAACAAAGTAACATACAAAACTTTGATCATTATATTTCACTAAGGATCTTGTTCTAGTAACCTTTTAGAAACATAAATAAACTAGGAAAGTTATAAATTACATGCCCTTAAAGACTTTGATCAAAACCTTTTTGTGGATGAAGTTTGGATGATTTTGAACCCAAACCAGTGTTCCTCTTATGAAGGCGCACCCAAGATCACGATCCAACAAATAGACAACATCGTTCTTCTTCTGTCATGCAAAAAAATTGAGAAAGTCTTAGCTTATGGAGAAAGACCGAGAGGGGGGGGGGGTGGTGAACGTGTGAAAAGAGGGAAAATCAATTATGAGTCGTATCCTATGCTAGGATCAGTTCTAAGGGTTAAATCCCATGCTTATCTTGATTTTTATTTAAGTAATTATCCCTTAATCCAAGGCATAAACACTTACCAAATCAAATTCAAGATAGTTACACTTAGACCCTTCTTTCTCTTTAGTTTCTAATTAACTCAACATAAGTTGACAAGTTGATAAACTAGTCATTCTAATCTTCCTTTTATCATTTTATGCTAAAATTATGTCTTGTGTAACCCAAAAATACCTTTCTAATTATGGAAAGTCGCCAACTTTTCATGACAATGGGGATATTTCCAACAAAAGGATGTAAAGTGAATTGGTTGATTTGGATATCATGTCCATACCTTTCTATTTTCCAATTGTTTAATATTTAAATGCTAGCTCCTTGTTAGTTTTGGTATATAAGTCTACAGATTCAAATAAACAAATGATAGGCCATCTCATTTTTAGCTAAACAGTTGCTACAATTTGTAAAGAAATGAAATTATGTTATGATGCATTAAAGGGTAAGAACTAAAATATTTCACTAATATTTGGTAAAAAAAATAATATTTGTTGTTGAATTGCCAGCTGCGTAAACTGGAGAAAATTTATGTGATTCGTTAAATTGTGAGTTTTTCGATTATATGTTGTTTGGAATTAGAATCGGGGAAATATGGAGAACATGGATTAAGTGGTGCATTAATTAGACTTTTCATCGATGCTTGTAAATAGCTCTCTGTTAAACCGTTGTCGCGCATGATTTAAACAAATAAAATTATCATTGCTGGTTACACTAATGGATAACATAAGGAAGTAGGGTCGAATCATAATGGACACAACCTAATGGTCAATGCATCTTGCATAAGACACATATTAGTCAAAACAAAAAATATAAAAAGGGGGATTTTTGATTATTAATTAAACTAAAGTTGTAGTGAAAATAAACTAAATAAAACTCAGTAATAAAACTGAATTCAACTCTGTTGCGACTTTCATAATCATGCAATTAGCCCAAATCTAGTTATTGAAAATGTGTTCTATCTAAGCTGGTATTGAGAAAAACTAACAAACTCTAGTATAATATCTTACTTAGTTACATTAACCAAAACAAGCTCTTCAGTTAACCCTAACTTTTTACTGTCTAATTAAACAAGCTCTTAATTAAGATCAGAAAAGTTGCATTAAGATTTGTGTAAAATTCCTAACAATACCCAATACTCCTCACAAGCTCGGAAGCATAAATATATAAAATTTCAGTTTATATCAGAGTTAAATCCCTAATACTGAACTAGTCTGATACTTGTTACTTATTACTTATTACCAGTTAACAAGTACAATTACAAATTCTATTAACTGATTAACTTGAATAATTAACCCTAGCTAGGTGATTAGACTAACAAGAATTAAAAATCAAACATTCATTAAGCTCAAAACTAAAACAAGAAGATAGAAACACATAATGAAAACCAAATCTGATAACTAATCACATGAAAAGTACTAGTCTTCTGCAGAACTAGAAACTAGGGTTTTAGTCATACATGGCTAAAAAAAAGAATTAAAACCAATCAAAAAATTAACTAATTGATTAATCTTGCTAACTAAATGTAGGGGATGATACTCAGCTTTTAGATCTTCAGAAATCGCTGAAATCAGAGAGAAATTGCCTCAGAAATTGTATTTTCGTCGCCTGGAGCTTCAAGAATCGGCTAACCTTCAAACTAATCACAGA